AAATTATAAATAACCGCGATAGCAACAAACTAGATTAGTCCTTGACAGGCAAATCAAGTCTTTATAAAATCAGATCTAATAAAAATTGGTTGATTTCAACGTATGCGAGAAACTGCTTGAATGACGTAGCCACGTGACGCCTTTTTTTCAGTTATTTATAAACTTTTGTTCTAAAAAAAATTTCAATGATATAAGCAGAAATATTATAATATTTTAACTTTTTAAGTTATTTTTTGATATAAACTTAAGAACGAGCATCTTATCATAATCCTAGCTTATACAGCAATAGTGTGGACAAGTGAAGATAAATATAATTTTTCAATGTTTCTGTCTTTGTACTTTTTCATAAGTTGCATAGTTGCTTCCATAATTCTTCATTTCTTTACTTATCTTCCAGTTTATTTCTGTCTATCAGTAATGATTCAGTTATTTTCTTAACAGTTATATTGAAATATCAAGTATTATTCGACAGCATTCATGTCTGTAGCTCAAAGTAACCATATAATCTAAAAGTTAATTGAAACCAGAATGAGTTATGTCATTCGAGTTATAATTTAGTATATTGTGTTGAATTAAATTCATCTATCAAAGAAATAAAGCAAATTTTCACGTTTCAGAGATGCGTTGGAGTGTTAACAAGTTATTATCTCATTATCAACAGTTAGCGGCGTTACGAGTAAATGCAACTTACTTTCATATAACAGCTTCAAATAAATGGCAAAGTGAGCCGTTAGTAATTTGCTTTAACTTTTAATGGCTTAATGTACAAACTGACTGTTATTGAATAGCAGCCATGTGTGAAAAAATAGGCATTTCTTTTGCTAAGTTAAGTCAATAATGAGTTGAACTAAGCTTATTATTTCTAAGTAATTGTTCAACAGTTTTAAACATACAGAAAAATGAGTATTTAAATTGTTAATCGAATTTTGATGACTATTCTCTTCACAGCGGTATCGATTTTCCTGGTTCATTTTTTTGCTTGCATAAAAATTTACCTTTTCCTTCGTATAAATCACACCCCAAGATTAGTTTTAAAAATATGGCGAACTGTAGACTCTGTCAGTGCTTATAGCAGTTATCGGAATCTCTAAAAGTAGAAAAGTCATTACAAAAATACTAATTTTGATAAGGTAAACAATCAATGTTTAGAAGAGATTTTTAATGAAGCTAAGAGATTATAATTAAATAAGGTTACCTAAAAAAACTTATAACAATAATGGCGAAACAAAAGTTTTGATTGTTATAGTTTGTCGCAGAATGCTATTTCTTCAGATTTTGAAAATGAAAGACATTTTGAGCCTGGAGAAGATGTTTTGAAACGAGTGTGGAGTGCTTTAAAGTATGATGTAAAACGTTGGAAAAGACGATGGAAAGAGGTGAGGTATAATAAGCTTGGGATATTGCTTGATTTCTTATTTATATTATCAAGTATTGATTCTTTTTTCATTCAAAGTTGTGGTTCTTAGATCAGCCTTTCAATTTTATCAATCGAAATTGATCATCAAGATTTTTATTGAATAAAAGTGGATGAAATTCTAGGCCCGAATGGATCCTTACCAACGTAATAATGCTATCGCACATATTAAACGCCATGCTATGGATATAGAGCTCTTTCCATTCGAAACACAGGTAAACTTGTTCAGTAAAAGCATGACAAATTTAAGGGGTTACGTGCATGCTTCCTGTTCTTTACATCGACATGAAGGTCTCATTTACTCATTTGAAATACACATTCAAATATATACAAGTTGTTGTGATATTGAAAAGACTTGTTTGCTAACTCTTACTTAATGCTAAGAATTTTTCTTCCTTTTACATATTTAAGATTTGGCTGCTTAATTCTACACTTATTTATTATTAATTAAAACAATTTATTATTGGTAAATTAATGTAAAACTAAGCAACCAACATGACCAAAGTATTTCACAACAATTTTCAATCCCTGAACGTGTAATTATATTAGCTATTTGCAGAATATTTTCGTTATGCTGGAGAGCATCTCTGGATCTTAGGTACATTTTTCATATTTAGGTTTTAATTGTTGGAGGTGGCCTAATTGGCTCTTCGTTAGCATATTGGATAAAGCAAACATTTCGTGATGAGGACTACAAAGTGACAGTTGTTGAGAACAATGAAAAAGTAAATTTGTGATTATGGTTACCACAAAAGATGTATATTTTTAGTTAGAAATTCATTTTTATTCGAGTTTTTGTAGTTTTACGGAGTAAGAATGACATAGCATGACTGAAACAAGCACTTTCTAAATTTGAAGAAAATTTAGTAGAAAAAGCTAACGTTAGGTGAAGGGATTACTATAAAACTAAACTTTTTCAGTAACTCATGACTAAGAGATATTCTAATCGTGTCGCGCAAAATTTAGTTTGCAGTTTGCAATGAGTACTTCGATGTTAGCTTGTGGTGGTATTTCCCAACAATTTTCAATCCCTGAACATGTAACTATGTCAGGTTTTTCTGCAGAATACCTTCGTCATGCTGGGGAGCACTTACGGATCTTGGGTATATTTTTCTTTCACGATTTTCTTTATTGTTATTAGTCAAGAAACTCATAAAAATTTGTTTTTATTTGATAGCGCAGTTTTTTTATTAGTATGTTTATAGATAATGATCCTCCAGACATACATTTTTTGCCGATGGGATTTATGTACCTAGCTTGCACACCCGAAGAAGTCGATCGATTAAAACGAAATTGGAAAATCCAAATGTTAGCGCTAAATAATTTAAATTTTGCTTAAATGCCAATATTTTCTTATAAATATTTACACTGAATAATAATTTTCGCTGTTCTTTTATTTGTTAATAAAAATTACTTCGTTTGTTTCAGATTTATGTTAATGTAAGTGAAGACTATGTTTTTATTGTAATACTTTCCTAGCTTGTTATTTCATTTTTAGATAAAATTAGTTCTGCATTACATACTGATGTTCATTATTAAAATGAGGTTGTTTATAGAAGATGGCTTACAAAATATTTTTTTCAGACGCAATGGTGCCCGAGTGGATCTATTAAATCGTGTGCAGTTATGCTCTAGGTTCCCATTCATGAATTTTGAAGACGTTCTGCTGGGTTCTTATGGTAATATTTTATTCAATGTAAAGTTTTAGGACAAAAAATTTTAAGTTTCTAATATTTCTGTTTGAAGTAAAAATAAAATTTTCAATTTAGGCTTAGAAAATGAAGGTATTATTGATGCATGGCAGTTACTGTCAGCTATACGAGAAAAAAATTTAACATTGGGTGTTCAGTATCTGAAAGGAGAAGTTGAAGGTATGAAATATTTCTGTCCTAATTTCACCGAATCTTACTTTTTTTAAGTTTTTGATTAACAGAATTTGAAGTTCTGTACTAATTTGTTATCGTTAAGTAATGTGGTTTAGCAACATTTTTGCGCATTTTGTTGAGACTGATAGTTGTTAATGCTTGATATATGTCATATGCAGCAGAATATTATTCGCTGTAATTAGTATCCGACATGTCTTAGAACTAGAGGTAGTACCATGAATGTCACTTAAGTAGTGATAGTGTATTAACTACTTTTTGTCATATTGAACAGCAATCAGTTGATTCTTCCAAAAATTTTATAAAATGGTTTTTAAGATTTAAGGTTTTCATTTTGACCGAATGCACATTAGACATGACTTGTACGGTGCTGTGGAAGATGCCGATGAGCAGTGTTGGCGTGATAAACAAATTCGAGGAGTTTATGTTGGATTTTATTTTCCTAATTTTATGTATATCTGATTCCTTTTTTATTTATCTTGACATTAGCTAGCAGACATCCATTTTCTGTTTTCTGATGTTAACTAGCAGATATAATCCTAGGTTCGTCCAGAAATGACGGATGCTTCTGCAAGAATCATAAGAAGCTCTCAAATTGTTGTGGCTGCTGGTGCTTGGTCTGGTCATATTGCACGGATGGCTAGAATTGGTATAGTACATATCATTTAGTATCAGAGTTTTTGTGTTTGAAGGATGTGTGAATTTAATAATGAAACAATTAACCATAACTGTAGATTTTAGGTGTAGGACAAGATTTGTTGGCGGTAAAGCTTCCAGTTGTTGCTCGAAAGCGTATGGTGTTTGCAGTACACGCTCCAGATGTTCCTGCTTTGGATATGCCGGCACTTGTAGATCCTAGTGGTGTATATTGTATCATGGAAGACGTTGGCAATACATTTATTTGTGGGAAAATTCCAAACGAGGTAATGCGATATGCAGATTATAAAAAAATCACAGCGAAATTTATCTTATGCTTTTTTGTTCACTTCAAGACTGTTTTTTTTTTCAGGAAGAAGATGACAAAATTGATCATTCGAATCTGGATGTAGATTATGGTTATTTCTATGACAATATTTGGCCAATTTTAACAAGACGAATCCCTTCATTCAAAAACTCAAAAGTAGGTTTTTGTACCAATTTATCTGGGATAAAGCACATGCATTATCCTTTTTTTTAATTCAGAAAAATGAAAATTTCATTTTTCTCTCTGTATTTGGAAGGATATTGCTTATTTGTCACTTTTATCCCATTATTTGTCATTCCTTGTCTCACGAGTTCTCAGTCTCGAAACCAATTCAATATAGAGCACTATTAAAAAGATAAAAGCATATATATAAAGCTGATTGTTTTAATTACCTGAAATTGAGATATCTTTTTAGATCAAAAATGCTTGGGCAGCATATCAAGATGTAAATACATTTGATAATTCTCCAATTATCGGAGAGCATCTACTTTACCAGAATTTGCATTTTCTATGTGGGTTCGGAAATCGTGGAATACAGCATTCATTGGCTGTTGGTCGAAGTTACGCTGAAAAATTGTTGGAAGGTGCTTATTTGTCATTAAATCTTCGAAAATTTGATATGAGACGACTTGTAAAAATGGAAAAACTGAAAGAAGAATATCCTTGAATCAAATAATATAAGTATATATTATCATTAATAATTTCATTTCTTTGTTTTTGCTGTTTGTGTGATGTTAGAAAAGAATCTGATGGGTGCCAGTTTGACTGTTTGTTAAACTGGAAGTATTATTTTAGTTTCTTCGTGATTTTGTAAATTTTTGGTCCTTGGTTATTTTTTGTCACTTTATTCTGTTATATTTAGTTGTTAAACCTATAATTTTAATAAAAGTGTCTTTGGATTAACAAGCAGTGTTACATAATATTTTTTTGATGTCCTTAGAAGAAGGTATTCATTGAAGTAGTAAGCGTAATAAATTCGCATATATATTTTCAATTCTTATCTGTCCAGTTGTTTTCTCTTTTGACGAGAGCGGGAGTGTCAAATTGTGTTGTACCATTTTATATTGTATTGCGTATGATGCTGGTTTAGGCTTTTACTACTGTTTTATAGAGTATCAAGCGTTTTTCGATGTCCGCAGATGAACCTAAAAAGAAACGGAATAAAATGGATGATGATGAATTAGACGAACAAGCAAGGGAGCTTACTAAAGAATTACCTAGAGGATGGGAAAAGCGAATGAGTCGATCAAATAGTTTGTTTTAAGAAAGTGCTTTGAATTGGTCATTACTATCATCAGAATTAAGGTTCATAAGTGTGTTCACTTTTTAGATTTGTTGTCTCATTTGGTGATATACTGTTTCAGGTCGATTTTATTATTTCAATGTATACACTGGTCGCAGTCAGTGGGAACGACCCACTAAGCCCGCTGATCCAGCTCAAGCAGCACTTAGTGAAGTGCGTTTATTTAACCATTTCATGTTTGAATTGACATTTGAGAAATTTTTGCTTGTTGGTTAATTGCATGTTATGAAAGTTAGAAATGACTATAAAAAGCGTGCTATTTTTAGGTAAGTTTTTGCTCAAGTGGATTTGTTATTTGTTCTTAAATCTGCCAAAACTTATTGCAATTAGACATTTTAAATTTGTTTGCCGAATATCTTGTGAAACTAAGCTGAGCTTTAAAAATTAAGTAACTCTGATATAACATCTAAGGCATAGAAGCAATTCAAATACATAGTACTCAGTCTCAGAATATTTCAGGTACATTGTGCCCATTTGTTGGTAAAACATAATTGTTCAAGAAGACCTTCATCATGGCGTTCTGATGCTATAACGCGCTCGAAAGAAGATGCAAGAAAAATTTTAATGGGTGAGAATTCGAACGTTAGTGTGTTCGTTTTCTACGAGAAATTTTTTCTGTGTAATACGTTTCGGTTGTTAGTTTCCTTTAATTTAATTTATGAACAATTTTCACTCCTATGAATTTGAGAAATGAACCAGATATTACTAAGTGAGAACAAAGTTGCATTTTGTTTTCCATGTTTAGCAAAAAAAATATTTCGGAAATTAAAATTTTCTGAAAACGAAGTTTTGGGAGAGCAAAAAAATAGTTGAACATTATTTACACCTTGTTTATATAATTATGTCTCGTGTCATTTTGAGCAGAATATATGATTTTATGGAATAAAGAATTTCGAAACAGAATTTTTAGGTTATAAAAAACAGATTGAAGAATCTTCTAACAAATTCGGAAAATTGTGTAGTCTAGCGAAGGAGTTCAGCGATTGTTCATCAGCAAAGCGAGGTGGTGATTTGGGTTTCTTTAAACGGCGACAAATGCAGAAGAATTTTGAAGACGCTGCATTTGCTCTTCAGGTAAATTTCATGTATTTTGACTTAAAATTTAAAGTACCTTAACTTAGTACTGATTGTAATACAATGAGTTGTTAGTTTCCTTTCATATTGGATCAAACTGTGGATAGTAAAAATTGGTTCATAACTGAGTGTAATAAAAATGTTTTGCTGAACAGCCTTTTGTTAATTCAGCTTAAAATAATCCATATTAGGATTTTAATGAAGTTATATTCAAAATTTAATCACTATGAGCTTCTTTTTTTCAATGTATCATCAAATTTCTATGTGTTATTCTTTGCAGATCGGCCAGTTAAGCGATATTGTGGACACTGATTCAGGCTTACATCTCATATATCGAATCGCTTGAAAATACTGTATTTGTTTGTTGTAATTTGGAATTGCCTTCTTTTGTAAAGCTATGAATTTCCTTCTGCGGGTTGATAAGTTAGAGCTTTAGAAAACGATTGTTGCTCTCAGCAACATTTTGCTTGCTATATGAGTATTGCAAATTCAACAAAGCTAAAATGCATTTTGATCTTTCACTTTGGTTTTTTGTGATGATCTACCTTATGGCTCATTAATTATGCACATAAAATTTGTACTTTTAGTCATTTTGAAATTGCATTAACTTTAATTTGTTTTTATTATATTTTATGTTTCAATGACCAGCAACAAAGCTTTAATGGATATAAAACAAAACGTTTTCAGTGATTTCAATTTTCGTGAGTTCTAGTTAACCTAGATTAAAAAGACTGAGGGTTGAAAAGTCAAATATGTGTGAGCAAGATTGAGTTGTTTTTTGCTAGTACTCAGTCATCAAATTTTATATCTTTCACAAAAGTGTGGTTTTGTCAAGTTGAAAGCTTAGCAATTACGTAAAACTATTTTCTATTTATTGATTGACATTTTTGCACTATGTGTAATCCATTTTGTCACAATTGAGTCAAGTAAATGTATTAATGTGAATTCTTTAGTTTGAGTTACATAGTGATGCCACACAGTCTGTTATTTCAGTATT